TTATTTTGTGTGTAAAATATGCATCTGTTTTAATAATGGTTAGATTGTGAACAACGAGCTTGTTTGTTTTTATAAGTACAACTAGGTTAATTTGTATTTAATTTTTGTAAATTATATTTATTTTTAAGATACACTAATTTTATTGAAAATATATTTATCAATATTTCAGTGCCTTTTGAGTTAGATTTTAATGCTTTTGTAAAATCCTTAATATTTGTATTTTATGTCAATTATAATTAAGTGAATTTTACCCCTTATTTCAATAGATATGTTAAGAGTGAAACTTTTGGACCAATACTACAGTAGATATGCAAATAATATGTTAATAAATAAATGCCCATTACATTGTACTTTATGATTGGGGCCAAAATGGTAAATTGTAAATCAAAATATAATTATTGTTACAATTGTAACGTTTAAAAGGTTGTTATTTTTGAAATATTAGGAAATGATATAATTTTCAATACAAATGTAATTTGTCTTATTTTTAAATTCTTCATTTTTGGCACTACTTTGGTCTAAATGAGGTCTTAATAATAGTTATGTTACTCTAAATACACATAATGTGTCTAAATATATACAATTTTGTCTACATTTTGTCGTTTATTTGATTTCACTTTTAGTTTTGTTGTTATAAGATATAAAAATTGATAAATTAAAATACGTGTACACATGATATTCACGTGAAATAAATTTGTGTTCATTTCTAATAGCGTTCATAATTTAGTTCAAAGTTTTATATGTGGTAAACAAACTCGATGGAAAACTTATTTGTGTCTTATTTTATCATTAAAATTTAATTAATTTAATGAATGTTTAATTGCATAAAATTAAATTGAATAAAACTCGTGATTATTACTTGAATCCATACATGTGTATGTATGGGACAAGTGGTGAACACAACTTATTTTTATTCAATAGTTTTGAAGCAATTCTGGTTTAATTCTTGTCATTTTATTTGATTTTAAGGTATCAATAAGTTTGGCTTATGTGGAGACGACCTTTGAATTAGACCAATATATAATAGTTTTGCTAACAGAATATGTTTATAAATAAATAATACAACATTTGATATTATAATACATATTGTTAATTTTACATAGACTTACAGTTGACATGTAACTTAATAGTATTGTAAAATCTTTTTAGTTATTTTATTAGTTATTAATTGAATTCGAAATTATTTGTAAGAAACAATGGATAAATGTTGCATATTACACAAATAGTGATATTATTTATATAATTTAAGAATCATAAAAATTTGTCACTGAAAAGCATAATATGTATATTACGTTATACAGGGACTAAAGTAGAAAACAATTGATGAAATTAATCAATGATAACAAGTATTGGTAAAAATACCCCCTTCTGTGAGAACATTGTTTTGTGAGCTGTTATTTGAAATGGATTTAAAGATATTATTAATTTAAATTAATTATTTGTTTTGATGGAAATGTGTAGTAATTAAATGACTTTATTATTAATCCACTTAATTATTAATCTATTCCTATGTTTAATGCATAAATCTTTTTGCCTTTTGACATATATTTACTTTAATTTAAATAAAGTCAAATAAAATGCAAATAAAACATGGAAAATTTTTAGGGGAATTCTTATAATAATATCAAGTTTTAAATTATTATGTTATTTACATATTGTCATTAATATTTTATTTTAATCGTATGTAAAATTAAACTTTTCAAAGCTTGTTTTATTTTAAATTTATTATTATTTTTAATTTATTTAAAGTTTATTATACTTTTAAAAATTAAAAATTCTTTAAAATCCATCAGAAATTTAAAATATAAGAATTGTACAAATTCTGTACTACAGAACTGTACAGAATTGTGTAGAAATGTAATTAGATTCAATTATTTTAAAAGTGTTCCGTAAGTATTGTACTGAATATTTTTACTGAAAGAATTAAAATAAAGTAAATTTAATGAATTTGGCGTCACCGTGATGGCTTTAAATTGAATCCAAAATAGATCAAGGTCATATATTTGCCATTTCAATGGTAAGCGTCGTCAAGTAACAACCAATATGTATATCTAAACCTATTAAACAATAATTATCTAATCTATTGTAAAATTTGTATCTCTTATGAATACTAGGTTTGGATGAATTGAGAGAATTTATTAAATAAATTGAGAATTTCTTATTTCAATACTCACGCTATCTATTGGTATAATTGATATGAATATGTGGTCTCAAAATGTGGAGCAAAGGAGAAAATACAGCGAAAATGCAGTGAAAATATAGTGAAAACAAGTGACTCTATGAGAGGCGGTCTCTGATCGCAGCCAACAAATAGTACCCAAGAATTAGTTGAGTGTGTGTTGTATTGAAAGCCCACTCAACGCCGTATCTTAATGAGCCAAATCTAAAACCCGAACCCGAGTTAAACCCGAACCCAACCCGAACCCTTTAGGGTTCGGGTCGGGTTCGGGTTTGGTTTTTGAAATTCGGGTTGGGTTCGGGTTTGAATTAATGTGAACCCTAAACCCTAATCAAACCCTAAACTCAAAAGACATGCGCGAACTCAAATACAACACATAACTGTAAGAAAGGTTTAAAAAGCATTGTTTTGTGTGAATTGAATGCTATCATTTTGTATTGATTTTAATAAAGTGATGTAAATATTAATTACAATTAACTAAACGATGTCTAAAAAGCAAAAAACTATTGAACACTATTTCGGTGATAATACAAGTGAAAATAAATCTGTCATTTATTTCGGGTTTAGGGTTCGGGTTGGGTCTGAAACTTGGAGTTAGGGTTCGGGTCGGGTTCGGGTCGAGTCTGTTCGGGTTCGGGTTGGGTCGGGTCGAAGAATTTGTCTCCATTTGGATCATTACCGTATCTCACGTTAACAGTAAGTTTAAACACACAGTCCTTACACTTTTGTTCCCATTTCTAAGAATAAGCCCTAAAAACCAGAATTCAATTATAATTACACTACTATTTACTTAAATTTTCAAATATTTTTATTTTTAAATCGGAAGACAATTATGTTTTAGTGATTTGTTTGATATACAAGTGAAACAATCGTTGAAAATGCTTTCCATCGGAAATCAAGTCCTGAAGTAAGTTTGAAACCAAGTTTATAACATTTTAAAATATCAAATGATTGAATGAATCGGAGAGTGAGTCTTATTGGATTCAATAGTTTTGACTATTAATTAGATTGACTAATATTTTCTACTGAAAACTTCATTACACTGTTAGTCAATGCAATGAATGATCAAAACTATTGAATGCATTGGTTTAACGTTGAATCCAATAAGACTCACTCTCCGATTCATTCAATCAAATGTGATTTTTTTAAATTAAAAATTTATTTTTTTTGCTATAATTTAATAAGATATTAAAAGTTAATAAAAATTAATTGCTTTTTAATTAAATGTAATGTATTTTTTTCAGTTAGTTTATCAAAATTTCTATTAAAATGCAAACCATATATTTTTACAATGTATAACTTATAATATCTAGATGTAAAAAGCCCTTAAAACTATTACTTCATAAAACTTGTTTTTTACTGATAATATTGAATACATAGATATTATTTAACGAAACAATTTCTCTACTCAATTGTCTCTCTCGACTACTGATAACATGTTAACTTTGGACGTGTTTTTCATTCAAAATTGTCTGACAAAGTCTTAAGGAGACTATTAGTTGTCTACCAATTGATAAAACCCAAATTCAATGCCACATTTTTATTGCATTTCAAAGTATAGTTTTTATTTGTCCGATAATTGTTGACAACATATAAATTGATTCAATTTGTGAATAAATATCTTTTAAATTGTATGATATTTTTCAATATTTAATCATTTTCTTAATCTTCACTGAAATTATCCGATGTTTTTGAGAACATATTCCTATTTATCATTAATTTATAATATAATTCACACCAAAAACACTGACACATGTATTCAATTATAACACCAATGCTTTAAATCAAAAATTAAATAATCAGTCGATTAAGTGTAAACTCCAAGGCCAGGACACCCCTCGTCACTGGTTGCCGTTACCAAGGTCATTTAGTGTGCACTTATTCGCTTCATATTTTTACACCAAATTCACATTTTTATACTCTTTTTCTCTAAATTTTATAATATTTTTAATTTAAATTATTTGTTTACTCATTGGATATATTTTGGAAAATATATTTTGATTCAATCATCTGTTGTTTTGATGTCTTTTTGGCAAATGACTGAATCCTTGAATTGAGAAATACCACAAATTCTGACATTCAATTTATAACTATTTACTGTAAAGTCATGACAAACACAACTAATTTAGTTTCCATGCAATTATACTCTAATATTCTAACGCATTATTCCTTGTGATATAACATATGATAATTTTCTTGTATAATGTTATATTGTAATACTTCAATAAAAATATGTAAACTTTATTGTGTGTTATTGTGTGTAATATTTGTTAGAAAAAATATTTAATATATTTAGCCAATTTCACAATCATTAAATAATTCAGTAAATTTATTCAAAATATTTGCAAAATCATAAATTGGTAATATTATTGAAAAACAATTATATAACTTTCATACTATCTAATAGCAAACACCTGTAATATACAGTAATTTAATACACTATGTTATTTAAATTACTAAAAGTGCAAATAAAATAAGAATTATTGCAGACGAAAGCTCATAGTAACAGAATTTAATAAAAATATTTTATTTGCACTTTTGCGTCTTTAAATTTATGTCTCAAAAATGTAATTAATTTTCAATCAAAACTATTCATTAGATTTGCGGCATATTCTCATCGCTCACCACTCATAGCCATTACCTGTCAGTCATGTGTCCGTACATTGAGTTATGCGGTGCCCAAAGAAAACATCACACATTTGAGTCCCAAAGTAAGAAGTTTTGTGGAGGAAAGGGCCCGACTCTGTCAGCCCAACGACATTCATATATGTGATGGAAGTGATAGAGAAAACAATTATTTATTGGATTTATTGCAAAAACAAGGAATGATTGAACCCTTAAATAAATACGAAAATTGGTATTAAATTCATATGAAAATTGTAATAATTGGTTGTAATTCATAAATAATTGCACTATTAGTTGGTTATCGCGAACTGACCCAGCTGATGTGGCCCGAGTCGAGTCACAAACTTATATATCCACACATAATAAAAGGGATACCATTCCTACCCCTAAGGATGGAGTGAAGGGCACATTAGGTTTGCTTACAATCAACACATTTGATGCCTAGAATTTGCTAAATGTGGCAAATATTGTGTGTTTAGGGAATTGGATGTCTCGCGAAGACTTGGATAACGCGTTGAACCAAAGATTTCCGGGTTGTATGAAAGGGCGGACAATGTTTGTGATTCCCTTCAGTATGGGTCCCATTGGATCCCCGCTCTCGAAGATTGGCATTGAAGTGACAGATTCTCCATACGTTGTCGCGAGTATGAGAATAATGACACGAATGGGCGCCCAAGTGCTCAAGACGTTAGGAAACGACGACTTTATCAAATGCATGCACTCTATTGGACAGCCATTGCCAATGAAGACGCCGGCAGTGGCCAACTGGCCGTGCAATCCCTCACAGACTATAATCGCACACATTCCTGAAAATAACGAAATCAGTTCATTCGGTTCAGGTCTGCATATATTTAGATTTTTAAAAATGTTTTCCAACTATAGTGTAGATAATTAAACGATATACTCATCTCTAGGTTACGGCGGGAATTCACTTTTGGGCAAAAAATGCTTTGCCCTGCGATTGGGTTCAATACTGGCCCGACGGGAGGGTTGGTTCGCAGAGCATATGTTGATTCTGGGAATCACTAATCCTAAGGGAGTGAAGAAGTATATCGCGGCTGCGTTTCCGTCGGCGTGCGGGAAGACGAACCTCGCAATGATGACCCCTTCCCTCCCCGGCTTCAAAGTCGAGTGCGTCGGCGACGACATCGCGTGGATGCGCTTCGACGACAACGGAGTCTTGCGGGCCATTAATCCCGAGTTTGGATTCTTCGGAGTGGCGCCCGGAACCAGCGAAAAGACTAATCCCAACGCCATGTCTACAATCCAGAGGAATACTATATTCACGAATGTCGCCAAAACTGCTGACGGTTTGTTTGATTTGAATGAATGTTCATAAATGGCAATTAATTTATAACATTGTGCCACACTTTTAGGTGGATTTTATTGGGAAGGATTGGAGCACCAAATAAAGGGAAAGAAAGTTCAAATCACTTCGTGGTTGGGCGACAAGAATTGGACGCTCGACTCGGATAAGCCCTCATCGCACCCGAACTCTCGCTTCTGTACGCCCGCGAGTCAGTGCCCAATAATGGATCCGTTATGGGAAGACCCCAAAGGTGTTCCCATTAGTGCCATCATATTTGGCGGTCGACGGCCTAAAGGTGTTCCTCTGGTCTACGAGTCATTCAATTGGAGACACGGAGTACTGATCGGAGCGGCGCTGAGATCGGAGGCGACGGCTGCGGCCGAGCATAAGGGCAAAGTAATAATGCACGACCCCTTCGCTATGAGACCGTTCTTTGGCTATAATTTCGGCCATTATTTGCAACATTGGCTCGACTTTGAGAAGAAGCCAAACCTAAAACTGCCCAAAATATTTCACGTCAATTGGTTTAGAAAAGGAGAAAAGAGCGGACAGTTCTTATGGCCGGGTTTTGGAGACAACAGCCGAGTCCTCGACTGGATTTGCAAACGAGTTGATGGAGAAGATGTCGCGCAGGTATTCACGAATTGATCAAATGTTTGTTACAATACTTTTAACATTATTATAATTGTTTACTCCATGTATTTTAGGAAACGCCGATTGGTTTCACCCCTAAAACCGGTGCCATTAATACGGATAATATGAACGAAAACGTAGACTTCGATGAACTGTTTTCAGTGCCAAAAGACTTTTGGCTCGAAGAATGCGATCGAATCCGGAATTATTTCACAGAACAGGTGAACAACGACTTACCGGACGAAGTGTGGAACCAATTGAAACAATTGCAGCAAAGATTACAACAACAAAAGTGATCTTTCAATCGTCTCCTCTTCTAGTCTTTATAACAATGCCATCAATTCATTGACAATAAATCTATTTTATTTTACTTAAACTTTTTTAATCACAAATTTATTCGTAAATATATTATTGAAATATTGTTTTTGTCGTTTCCTTCACTTCAACCGCTTCTTCTGATTCATTGCCGGATTTAAAGGATTAGTTGAAATACATGTCGGCCGAAGAGTTTGCATCTAAGATAATAAATATGTTATATTATTATAATAACTATAAGAATGGGTTTCACAATAAATAAGAACCTGATTCTGGTCTGAAAGGAGGGGTAGTTGTGATGGAGTGGTATTCCTCTTCAGACACAATGGGTGCGTCCATAGACTGGACCACATTTGTGGCCGCAGTTCGCATCTGAATCGGTGGCAAAGCAGCCAAAGATGTTGAAGACATTTGACTCAATTCCGATGTGGAAACCGATTGCGTGAGAGAAGTCATATCCGACGCCAGAGTGAGAGCCGTTTCGTCCGATTGGGAGACAACTGACTCCTGAATGTTGTCTTCGCGCGATTTCATAGCCATCGCGTGCAGCGTTTCGGCTGAGAGGGCGATCTGATCCCCGCTTTCGCTTCGAACCACAAGAAGTAGTTTTCCTGATTCGGGATCCAGTGCTGGCGATACGATGGTATGTCTCTCGCCATTCACTTCAATAACTTGAGCCGCTCTCCAAAATTCTTCAAATTCTTCGTCGGTGTCGTCGGCCACGAGTTCAACGTCTAAAGCGTTGTCTTCACTCAGAATGGGAACCGTTTGTTGGCCTGAAGTCACGCCTTCAGGCGTTTGGTCGCAATTGTCGCTCATTTCGGTTGATCTCAATCTTATGATCGACTCGACTGTCAATTGGTATCAAACGGACGGTCGGTCTCTGGGTTTGGGTTTTGTGTGAAATGAATGAATGCTTTGAATGAATGCAAAATCAATCGTTGAATTAGTTTCACAAAAGTTTAAACTTTGAATCAATCAATACATGCCTACAAAAGGGGGCAATAATAAGGCCATAGAAATGGTATGTAATCTATGAATAGGACTCCAAATGTGAGTTCAAAGCAAAACAAAACGTATTTTCAAATGAATTGAATTTTACGATAAAAACAATGAGTTCTTCAAAGAGTGGACACAACGATAGACCAGACGGTAGACACGGATCTGATTCGAGACATACGTCCGACCGTAGAGTACGGGACGACAGAACACGTGATGATCAACACTACCGGCGAAGACATGAAAGCGATCGCAGAAGAGATGACAAAAGGGATGACAGAAGGGATGAGCGAAAGGAAAGCAGAGATAGAGACGATTCGCGACGAAGAAGGGATCGTAAGACCAGAAAGAGTTCATCCAAAGAGAGACGAGACCGCAGAAGACGTGGTAGGAGTGAGTCGTCTTCGGGAAGTGGTGGGAGTCGTGGCAGAGGCGGTGGCTCTTCGTCGTCGAGTAAGGGCTCATCCAATGGCGAGAGCGACGATAGGATGGCTTTAATTACCCATAGATTGGCCGCCAATCAGATGGAAGTGTTGGCAGAGAAGGAGAGGATTAGACAGAAATATAAAGACGATAAGAACCGTCAGAAAGAGATTCTGAAGGCTTTGGAGACACCGGAAGAGAAACGGATGAGACGTTTGGCCAAAAAGCAGGGAAAAGAGAGGAAACGAAAGTTGGATAGCGGTTGGGATGAAGAATATATGGGATATACGAATGCCGACAACCCTTTCGGCGACGCAAACCTCCACAAGACGTTCATTTGGGGCAAAAAATATGACAAAATGGGTCTCAAGAATGTGGCGGAGGAAGAGATCAATCGTTTGATTATATGGGATATACGAATGCCGACAACCCTTTCGGCGACGCAAACCTCCACAAGACGTTCATTTGGGGCAAAAAATATGACAAAATGGGTCTCAAGAATGTGGCGGAGGAAGAGATCAATCGTTTGAATCGCAAGAAAATGGAGTCAAATAAACGAGAGTTAGAGAAAGTGAAACAAAGAAGGATTGAGAACGAGAAGGAGAAAGAGATGAGAGCCGAAGAGGCGACCCGTCAACAGAGGGAGAGAGAAGTGGAACTGTTTGAGGAGTGGGAGAAACAGGAGGACGTCTTCCACTTAAAACAGGCAAAACTCAGGTCTAAGATAAGGATGACTGAGGGAAGAGCCAAACCCATCGATTTGCTCGCCAGATATATAAGCGCTTTCGGCGCTGACATCCCGGTCGACGACGAGGCAGAAAAGAGCGAAGAAATGGCCGCCGATTTAGTCGAGCCCTACATCTGTCTCAATGGTCTCCGAATCACTGATTTGGAGGATCTGTTCGAAGACATCAAAGTTTATATGACTCTCGACAGCGAAAAGAATTTAGAGTTTTGGAAAGATATGCAAATCATAGTCGAAGACGAGTTGAATAAACTGAAAAAATTTCAGTCACAAAACTCTGTGGAGAGAAGGGAAGGCATTAATCCGGCCGTCGCTCAGGAAGTGGTCCAAGTATTTAAAGACAAAACTCCCACACAATTGCATGCATTGCAGACACAGATTGAGAAGAAAATACACTCCAATGAAGAGGGAGTAGACATCGGCTATTGGGAGTCATTGCTGTCCAAACTGAAGGCACATATGGCCAGAGCTCGACTCAGAGAACTGCATGACGTGAACCTCAATAAGAGGTTGAATCGATTGAGAGAAGAACAGATGGCCTCTAAAACCACTGAACGAGTGGATGGCGAACCACTCTTTCCCATTGTTGATGAGAGTTCTGGTGTGAAAACAGAGGATCCGGTCAGCAGTACCACAGATGTGATCGACGAGCAGTTACAAGAGGATGAAGCAGAAGAAGTGGATCCAATGGCTAAATGTGTTGAAGACTATGAAAGCGGTCAATACTCACCAAAACTACTGGCCATGAATGACATGGAATCGGAATTAATACTAATTGAAGCGATAGACGATATGAAACAATTGGAAGACCAAAGGAATAGTGTATTGAAAAAAGAGACGACTGAAAGGGCAGCCAATTCTGCGATGAGTGTCGCCGAACAGGCCTTCGAAAGGGAGGCGCGAAAGGGTATGTCTAACGAAGAGGCGATGTTTAGCGTTGAGGAGCAGATCAAACACATTGAGAAGCAGTACTCGTGGTCTGACAAATACCGGCCCCGAAAGCCCCGCTATTTCAATAGAGTTCACACCGGGTTTGAGTGGAATAAATACAATCAAACCCATTATGATGTGGACAATCCTCCACCCAAAGTGGTTCAGGGATACAAATTCAACATATTTTACCCCGATTTGATCAATAAGGGACAGTCGCCGACATTCAAGATCACCGCCTGTCCGGAGAACCGAGACTTTGCGTTCATTCGGTTCAGCTCTGGTCCGCCCTATGAAGACATTTGTTTCAAAATCGTGAACAGAGAGTGGAATTATTCCTACAAAAGTGGTTTCCGCAGTCAGTTCCACAACAATATTCTTCAGCTGTGGTTCCATTTCAAGCGATACCGATATCGCAGATAAATTAATTCAAATCATTTCAATTGTTTGTAATTTTCGTAAAATATTTGTTTTTTATTTACCAATAAATCAATTCATTTTTATTATATTTATACACAGATTTTGACTTAAAATATATTTATATATTTAAAATATAACTAATTGTCAACCGAGTGTCAGGCGACCTGACTCTTACCCTAAAGGGTTGGAATATATGGCAAAACATGTTTTGATTTATAGTAGTTTGCGATCAAACACAGTATTATATCGTAGCGATTCATTCAATTCAATTCATTAGAAATTTAAATATTGTTTAAATATCTGATCCTTAAGTAACTTAAAACGAGTTAAGAATGTAATGATATTCTGTTGATTCAATTACTCAAATGTCTTAGAATTTGCTTTACATAGCGATCATTAGCTTTAAATAAAACTTTAAATAAAATGAATTGTTATTTCAAGAATTTGTATATAAATTCAAAATTACTAAAACATAATTCATTGCGTTTTCTAATAAACAAAGTATTCATTTATAATTTCGATACCGAATTTCACAGCGTATTAAAAGACTCGGTTATCATATATTTCACTCTATGTTAATCAAAAAATATGAAAAATTTGCGATAAAAATAAAATATATTTTTTTCATTAATATATATATAAAATTAGATAAATATTCTAAAAAGATAACAAACAAGTTATTATTTTTGACTGTGAAATCGGATCTATTATTATAAAATAAAACTTATATATGAATGAATGATGAAATATGTGAGTCGTCAGTATCTTTAGAGTTGGGGCGGAGGAAAGGGTTGAGTATTTTTGGGACATTTAAAGGGTAGAGAGCAGTGGGTAGTGAATGCAATGAGTGCTTATGTGTCTAATAACTGTGCATTGGATTCATAGACATTGAATTATTGTATGGTTGAAGGAATCGATGGCTGACATGGGATTTGAGAATCATTTCGAGACAGATATTAGCAATTCGTGAGATTTGATAACTCGTTGGGACTCTAATTGTTAGACAAATCGTATTTTTCTCGTTATTGTAATTAAAAAACACTTAACCATAAAAGTAAGGAAAAATAGGAATTGGATTCTGTACTCAATAAATCAAATCTAAACTTAAAAAGTTAGCCTAAAAAACAATTCAAACGTTTTCATAGTTGTTGTTATGGTATTTAAACCCGATATATAAGAGAATAGTTAAGACCCATATTATTATCCCAATATTCTTCGGTGTTAGCCGTGTATTTGAGGGCAAAGAGGACCCTCTGTCCGGGCGATAAGTAATAGCCACCGGCGCTGATACTAAATGTAACCGAGAATTTGTCACTAAAGCCGTCGCACGAGTTGGGAATATAAGAGGCGAGCGCTTCGTTATGTGTCAGCCATTCATTGGAAGTATACCTCAAAGTGACTGACTTTGAAAATGAGACGTTCAATACTCTTATAATACAAGTGATGCTGAGATTGCCGGCTGTGTTGGACACGAGACAGTTCTCCAGACAAACCTTATTATTGCGGACCCTATCGATGAAGTTGAGTAGAGAACCGGGTTGTATGAACTCCAACACCAGATTCGGCCGATTATTCTGAGCCACATTTTTGCACGGCTTTTGCATAAACCACGGCATATGCGTTACGCCGAGCGCACCGTTCGTCGCACCGCTCACTTCGTTCAGCTTAAGGCCGCCGAACGCCGACAGCGGCACAACCGGCAGATCATCGGTCACTATATGCCGCACAGACTCCAAGTCCAGACCCAAGGAGTCGGCGAATCTGACAATCTTTTTGCGATGAGGCGTTCCCGGAGGCGTCTGTCGGGTCTTCAATGAGATACTCCTCAGAAGCGGCGCTCGGATCTCATCGATTCCGTCTTCGGAGTCGTCGTCAAAGCCGTCGTTGCCATTGATTTGAATGAGCGGCGAATCGCAGCGAAGTTCCAGTTTCGAGAACTTCTGCTCCAGAATTGACCGATTGATGGCATCGTATGGCTGTTCTTCAGGCGATGACAGCGGCGATGAGGAGAGGGTTGAGGCGGCGCTATAGCCGTCGCTTTGACTGCCATTTACTGCATCGCTGTTCTCTCTTGTGATGTCAATCTGTAGTGACTTCTTATTGGACTGATTCTTAAGATTAGAGGTATGGATACCGTTAAAGCCATTATTAAACAACTTATTATTTAACACTTGATTGTCTGTACGATTGTCTCCTCGATTGCCATTCACTTCTATCTTCTCTTTGATTAATTTCAAACTATTAATGATATCTTGGCTTTCATTTGAATGATTGCCGTTTGTATTACTCTTATTATTAGTATTATTAGTGCCGTTGAGTGTGAGAGCACTGACCGCACAAATACTTGACATCTCTTCTAATTTCCGAT